CATGTATCATTTGGGAAAGTCTTGTTCCAAATAATCATGTTTAACAAAGCATTTGTATAAATTTATTAATGTTGCCTATACTTTTCATATTGTGCTTAAAATTATCTACAAAATAAAGTGAGTATTATCACTTTTGTTGCAGGGATTTTGGGCAATAAAATACTTACTCGCCCTATGTTGATACATATGCGACAGTTTTAAATAAATCTTATTTTCATCATACAATGTTTCTCACTAAACAACAATTTTAGTTATTGATTTAATTACGAATTTTAACGTTCCAATTAGCAAAGGTTTACACTGAACCCCAAAAAGCAATGGCTTACCAAATAATCCGTCGGACATAGCTTGGGGCTTGAACGGTTTGGAACATCGCAGCAAAAAGTTCCACATTTCACGCTCCTGACGTTTATAGAGTGGTTGTTAGTTCAGGTGAGTGACGTTTGCAGTGAATAGATGCATACAGTCACTACTCTATTATTGGTTTAGATACATTTTTGATTGAGGCTTTTTGAATAGAATAGGGATGATAGCTATTGTGAGATTTTTTGTTTGTAATGGCCGTCGTTTGGATTCATTTGAACGTTTAATTACATTGATTTGAAATATCGTGTGTATTGATTTATGACATACGATTCATTACATTTTACAGCAATCAGTGAAGTAGCGACCTCCCGCTTCTAAACTTAAATTTGTTTTATCTAAGAATTAGATCTGTTACCATATAAAATATAGTGTTGATTCTAGCTTAACCTCTCTCGTGATAGTCGTTTTTTGATAAGATAAGAAGTTGTTTTTTGATAATTTGGCTAACATGGGTACTAAATTTTATTGCCAGTATTAACTTTATAGGTCATCAAGTAGATCAGTAATTTCTGGTGGTTTACTGCGTTCGGAATATATTGAATTATGCGTTGAATATGAGCTCCTAGCGTGGCTTGAAACTAGCCGAGTTTCCAGTCAAACAGTTACGTGATTAAGGCTTTAAACTTTAATACTTAATTGTAATTAGAAAATAGGCTTCCATCTTTCCTTACGATGTTTCCCTTAATCTAATGTCAGTAGTCTTAATTATTTTAATAACTAAATGTGCGTAGGTAACTTGTAAAAAGTCATAATGCATGTTTAAGAGTTGTCGTAGTTGGCCAGAGGTTAAGGTTAGGGTAAAGATAAGGCTTTTCATACAAGATCCTCTTGTATTCGCGAGTTTGAAATCTGGCAAGTTCTAATGTCACTTTTGCCGAGTTATAAGTACTTTCTAAGATTTAATAAACACAATCAGACATACGGTGAAAGAAAACATCGTGAGGAACCTTGACATATTATAATAAGTATAAGTTTGAAATTGCCAATCCGCCTTTAGCAAGCGTAGTGATTAATGTTCAAACCTTTTCCGTGTGAGAAGAAGTCTTTGCTCAGCAGTGGGAACTAAAACGCGCACGTTTAGGAAGCGAATTAACGACCGCCATGACACTGCAACAGAATCTACTGCTTCTAATATAAAGATTTTAACCGACTTCAAAAAAGGAGGAGGTTCTCAATTCGACGCGTATTTTTTTAGCCATCCTTTGTCGGTACAATGTACTCGTACAACAAGTAAGTAAAGCATGGGAGAGCCATGCTTCGGCACGAATGGGTCGGCTCGACCGGAGTAATACCACGACCTCACAGAAAATCAGCGTGAAACAACGACAGCGTTGTGTTCCGTCGTGCGAGTGCGGTTACCGGAGGTGGGCCTCCGGTAACCTTTTCCCTCTCCCAATCATTAAATCTCTAAATCCCAAATCCCCAAAAGGTCGGCAACGCACTCGTAACTCCTCTGTTTTGGCGGCGCTGATTGCTTACCATCAGGTATTCCGCATGTTCGTGTGTTGGCCTATCATATAAAAAGTAGAAGACCTCTTTAAACCTCTCAAAAAAAAACTGTTATCGTGAATGTAATTGTTAAGATAATCCAAGATAAATACTCATCTAAGCTAACACTAGGCGACGTGTAAAGTAATTTCGGTTAATCTCTGTTAATCTAACTTGAGTTTAGAAAAGAGATTACGTTAAGAGCTTTTGGTTATAAACGCATTCTGTTTTTACATTTAACTTTGTAACGAACAAAAGCAAATGAAAGTTATATAGTTGTAAATGCCTAGCAGCATTGTGGTTTCTTTGTTACTGCTAAAATTGTGTAGGTTTTTTGGTCAAAAATAAATTCTTGAATTAATTATTGAGTTTTGAATACAATAAATATATTATTAAAAAAAATACATTCAATTTAAATTTAGAAGTTGCCTAGTGATATTGTTTTTTTTATTTATAAGTATGCTTATTAACATATAAACATTATGATTTTATGACTTTCGTTCTCATACCAAATTTCACAGACTTGTGTATTTTTTAAATTTCGATAAAAATGTTTCTGATGCAACCTGATTCTATTTCTGGGCCGTGGCGATTGACTATGAAATAATTTGGGTTTCCGATTTATGAATTCTGTATACACTTTAAAAACTTAAATATGTTGCTACTGTTTATTAAATAAAATCGACTAGCAAAACATCATGTTGTATAGCTTAGTAAACACAGCAGCTTGTGGGATAAAATAAATCTTACGCTATACGAAATAAAATGCATAATACAAATCCAACATAATGCTTTATTTTACAAATACTATGTAATCGCCATCTAAATGATACGCTATAGTACATACCTATTATAATTACATTTGGAGACACCGCATTATATACAGAAATTTTAACATTCAATAATAATTATGTAAAGTTATAAGGCACATTAAAACATCTTATTTAATAAATATCTATTTAGTTGTAATTCTATTAATTAACTAACTATACAATTGCGAATGCACGGGTTAAACGAATAGGGTGTGAAGATAATAGTGTTATTTTCAATTTATTCATTATATAACCTATTTAAATTCATAAACTCAATAGATAAGACTTGGATAAAACTTATATTTAACTTATATAGATATTTTCATGAAAAATAATAACGAAAATTAACTTCACACCTCTCACTATAAAAATGACACCATATATAATTATAATATCAACTATTATGAAGCTATTTACATCAAAACCAGGGAATAAAATTTCAACTAAAATAGTCTCTTCCACGTAAACACTAAGAAATTACGAAAATAATTAATATAGACTTAGGTGTTTGCGATGTTTTAATTGCACAATTAAAATGTAACACCCTATATCTTGCGACGAATCAAAAACTGGAATTCATTAATAACTAAACGTGAACACACAAATACGTTTTAAAAATGATTAATTATCTATTTTAGGGCAGATTTTTTTAATCAGATAAAAGTTATCTGTAATATAATTATGATGCTGTCCCGTCAAAATGTTTGTATAAGACAGTGACAACAACAATGTTATTCCTCAGATAACATTTATCTGACTATTGAAAAATCTATCCTTAATCATAAATGCTATCAATAAATAAAATGACTTTCGATATTTATCGAAAACCATTTTATTTTTCCACAATCGACCATATTCAAAAATTATATTCAGTCAATTATTAACGTACACCTAATAAACTGCTGTATGGAATTGTATGGGAAAATAGTTGAGAGTGACTTAAGGCCAAAATAGAAAACCAATCTATTATGTGTTCGGCTTACTCTCGAAATTATTTGACAAGGAACTTGCGCAGTAGCAGAGCAACAGTCGCGGCGTCGCGTGCCGCGGGATGCTGCTCATGAATATGAGCCTCAAGCATGGCTTGAAACTAGTCGAGTTACTCGTCAAATAATTACGTGAGTAAGCCGAATAATAGAAAACCAATATTTTAAAAACTTTGCTTAAAGACATGATTTTTAACTAGCTCTCTTTTGTCTTTTATGTATGAATTAATTTATTTGATACCAATACATTATAATTAAAATTTTGTATACACATAAACAAATCTGTATGACAATAAATGCAAAGGATAATAATGGTAGGTTAAAGAATATAGTTATAAACGTTACTCTTAATCCATAAATATGTCTCAAATGTGCTTAGCCCCAGTATGTATTGACCCACCTGATAATAAGAGGATTTCATTGAGGATTATGACGGTTTTTGATCGGTTTTTTATTTCGGCCTTCAAATAAGTCACGTTTACTTAGGAAGACGAATTGGCAGTATCATGTCTTTTTCGAACTATCTTTTTCTATTTATGTCCTTATCTACACAACAAGGAGGAAAATAAAAATACTGGCTCAAAGTCTACCACAGTTAAGAATGGAAGTAATTAAATTAAAGATAATATTCTATAAAATATTTCTATCAAAATTGTTATGGATATTTTATTTACGTCATTAATTTTATTTTCGTATCGATCACAAAGAGGAATGTTATATTTTTAAAGAAGTTACGAAGGAAGTATTTTTAGACTGGTATTATATTAATTGCTTCAGGAATGTATGAGACGATTTGTTATTAAAACCATTTTGGAAACTAGTTTACAAAGTTGAAAAGAAATTTGTGTACATTTATTACAAAATTTTCTTTTAAAATCTGTTTATAATTGGCTAATATTTTATTAACAAATCAGTCATGGTCGAAATAACACAAGACATAAAATGTGACTAAAATAAATTCGCTCAGTAACTTATGAGTACAAAAATATTTACTTATATAAACATACTTTTAAAAATCTATTATTACAATTTACAATTTCACTAAAAATTTTACATTCTACGACATAAGTCAATACGACTAACTATTAGGTAGGTATATTGAATGATATCTAATTAATCACAATTATGTAATTTACATTGGGCTAAAAGTGATTACCATATTTTTAATTACCATTTGTATTTCTTACTGTCGATGTTGGTTTTATAATGATATCTTTAAGCCATAATTATCTTTTTTGAAAACGTGATTGGATCGTAATATCGTACGTATTTCATTTGTACACAAAAAAACTCCGGATAATTCGCTCTTTGTTTTTCCATAAAAATTATGACCAGAAACATTGTAGTTGGAAATTAATATAAAGATTTAGATATTGATATAACTATGGCTTTAAGATACGCATAAAAATCTCAAGACGACCAATATTCTCTATTCAAGTTCCAGACTCGTTTTTTGGGTTGTCCATATTGTAATTCATGCAATCGTAATAACTGTCGAAGCGTACAGATATGAAAGATATGTACAGTTAACATCTATACTAAATCCTAACCAGTAAGTTAATACTCGATAAAGAATACTATTACAACATTAATTTTACATAAAACACTTTAAAATTTATAAAAAGACCGCAAAAACATTCATTCTAGTTGAAAATATCAATCAATGTTTTCTTTAAGAAGAGATATGTATAATTTAGTAAGTTTCCAAGTAAAATAACAATTGCATAGGAAAAAATATATAAGTACCTAGAAATAAAATAAAACGCTGATTTCCAACAACAGCTAGGGATAACAATTTTAGAAGAAGTAATAAATAACGATCTTCCGCAAGACGAACAAAGGCAAGCACCATCATTATAACAGTTACATATATCTCGAAAACTAACTCAAAATTTCCACCATCCACAAATTCACTTCTCTATACTCGTAATAATTCACACAGAATCCGTAGGAACTAAACAAATGACATTCAAGCGAAACTAAAATCGAACACATCAGTCGTTAATAGGCCGAGTTCAACGGGGTTCATATCAGCAATAGAGAATGCTAAGTTCGCTAATACAGATGGCAGCACTATAGCAAGTGTGCATTTTTAGCAATGTTAATTTCTTTTAATTGACATTGCTACTTCAACGTGCTATGATGTCGCCAAAATCACACCAATTCCTCTATCGCGAATCGTTCAACAAGCCTGTGTATATGGTGAAGCCTTATAGTCTAAACAGCTTGTAGCGTTTCACACTATACAAAAACACGTTTAACTACAAGCATTCATTGCATCAGACAACAAGTGAACCATTGAATTAACACTATGTCACAGTCACGATATTCTCATTGTCTTTATGCTGTTTATATGAACAGCACTTCTAGGTAAGCCTCCGGCTACTCGGCTTGTGTCAGCTCTGGCGCTAATCTGCTGGGGTTGAAGTTTTCCATACTCCACATCTGCCTTGGTTCCGACTCGCTGCAGGTCTCCATGACGATCTTGTCTTTATTCCTTGATACTGCCATACATTTCTCACTTGAGCCATGCTTCAGCAACTTCAGCTGTTAACAAATTATGTTATTAGTATATATAGATTCAAATCTTAATAACATGAAAAGTTACGATTTATAGGCAATAACAATAGTTTGGGAACAGTGTACGAGTAAAAATAAATAGTAAACTCTATTTTGAAACGAAAATCGTTCAATGTCTGAGTCTCATCTGGCAAGCCCTTTATTTTAAGGGAAGGTAATATAATTTATATGAAACACTCCTCATAATTTCGCCGACTTAATACTTCTATATTTAGCAGCAGGTACTAAAGGATTGGTCGTTGCCTAACTCCAGCAAATTAATTTTAGCAAAATCTTGCAAAGAAATTAATTCACTCGTCGACATTAATTAACTTTTGATATAAACTCGTATATCATATTAGGAATACAACAATTACACAGGAACATTTTGTCTCTACGACAACAGCTTGAAATTGTTTTAATTTCAGCATTTTTAAAATGTAATCTAAGATACCTTTAACTTAGAATTTTCAAATGCTCAATTTTTCAATAGCATTTACTATATATCAGATCAAAATCGAGATGTTTACCTTGACAGTTGCGACTTGGAAAAAATTAATATCAAACATTTTTACACAAAAATAAATTATTATGTACGTTAGGTTCGAGTAATCTTTAATTCCAATAACGTTTGCTATTCAAACACTAATATCATCTAAATGTACACAAATAAATATGTATATTGAAAGCTTTAGCTCTCGATTACATAGAAGTTTAGAATATAATTCTACGAAGGACATCTATAGGACCAGTTATTAAATGAAAACTGCTGTTACTATGAAACGATATTTATTTTAAAAGAGAATTTAAAATTTAATAAAAAATAGTTTATTTCAAGTAACTTATGTTAAGGCTGGGAAATCAAAATAGTATAATATTAATAATGTGAAAACTTACGTGAGCATCGTAGATCCACAACTGATTACCCTTGGCACCGTGGCAAGGATACAAAACAACATCATGTCCAGAATAATCCAGACACGTCTCGTCACGTCGGATCTCGCCATTCTTGGAATACATCCAATACTGAAAGTTTTAAAAATAAATATAAACAAATACTCCATACGCTTTATAAAAGTTACACGAATCATATACATTTGCAGAATATCGTTCGTGATAAACAAAAAATTAATCATGAACTGTACAAAAAATATTCGGGATTCGGTTCATAGTTTGGTAGATAAATATATATTATTTTCAATAATTAGATAATTAATAAACAGTAATGTATAGGGAATCCGAAAACCTAATCACCCAAAACCATAAATATACAGATATAGACAACTGGCTTAGATTTACAGGGCAAATATCAAATATATTAGATGAAAATGAAGTTAATTCTATTCACACAGCTAAGAAAAATGTTGATATGGGCCGTACGCAATCTTTTTTCACCACATTGGTATAGTTAATATTTAGACTACAAAACAATGCCCAGGCCATTTTCTATATCTATGTGTATACAAAAAAGACAAGAAATAATACAAAAGTTAAAAATAAACAGGGTCTGTAATACATGGGTTATAATTAAAAAGGCGTTAAGGGTAAAACTTATGTACTAAACAAGCCACTTAACACAAAATAATCGTGTTATACTCACGGGTGTAACGACCCTCAAAAAAAAGAATAATTAAATGAACGGATACCATGTAAACAACGATCATACGAGTGTTAAATGGCTTTAGAAGTTGTAATTTACCTCGCGGCAGTACCAAAATTGGAAGAGTAAATATACAGTAACATCCTTAATTTTTAATCTACTACTCCATTTTAACCCTCAAAAACTCAAAGGGTAAAAGTAAACGTAAAAAGTTCAAACACGTTCGATTCACTTCAGTAAAGATAAAACAAAAAATATCTAATGACATCTACTTTGTTACTAACAAACTCAAAAATTTATGAACAAAATTTGTTACAAATTTTATTTGCATTAGTAAGGCAAAATAGATGGATGAGTGTATACAAAATACGTGCGTAACATGATTATAAAACATAAAACCGTAGTACGCAAATATTTTGCACATTAGTACAAACTATAGTCGACAGTAAAAATGGTCGAGTTTCATACAAAAGTTATTATAGAAATTGTTATTGACAAACATGAGCCGAAAGATCAGTTTTTTGAATTTCATTATTTTTATGGTCGACTATCTGCATCTGTAATTAGGCATTATTATTAGGTTACTGTACTTGGTTTTGAAGCCACTACGACCCTAACTTACCAAAATGATGATGATCACCGACACCCAACTACAGAAATAAGCAAAAGCGGTAGATTTGAATAATTTGGCGGCCTTCGACAAACCTGATTTCCATACTCCCCGTGACATGGCCATAGGTTGACGGGTTTCTTCATGTCTTCGGGACCTGCAGCTGAGTCGACGCACATTTCTGTCCCAGGATTCGCGATCTGATGCCATCCATAAGTTATAAAAGGCGTGCCAAAAGCAAGCGTGCTAATCCAACGTCATCATTCGAAATTATTAATAAACATTGTAAAACAAAACATTAAACGAATGATGACATTAGATTGTTGTGATAATGAAGATGAGAAAACATAAATAACTGTTATAGAAATTAATAGACACTAAAACAATCATTCCTTATGACGTCAATAATCATAGTAGGTATTATGGAAGCCTCCAACATCCCAACATAGAGAAATAAATCCAGCCCAAATTCGTAATCCTTACTCCTCTTTCTCGCTAGGAGTACCTGATTGCCACCACTGCCGTGGCATATGCGAGTTTTAGCACGTCGAGGCGGTTCTTCTATGTCGTTTTCTTGGACGGACACGCCATCAAGGCAGTGATTTTTGAAGCCTCCATTTCGAATCTTTCATTGACGGCCACAAAAATAAATGCAAAAAACGTGACTTATGGGTGCAATAAAAAATCAAACGTGCTGTTCACGTGCAAGAAAGAGTGCAATAATATGGAATACTGAACAGAGTCGAAACAAATATTCAAAATTTTGAATAAAAACTCCTGCAAAGTGGTACTGCCGCAATTGGTCTAATTGAATACGACAGAAGACCTGATTTCCTCCCTGCCGATGACATGGGTAAAGTCCGACTGGCTTATGATGATCTGACTTGCGCGCTGGAGAGTCCAAACAGATCTTTTTGAAGGCGACATTTCGGATCTGTACAGGTAATAATTTCGAAGAACACATTTATTATTTGCACTCATCGGTTTCAATTTATTACGGAAAGTGAAATATTTTACACGTATTGATGCTAGATTTCTAAAATATAATCGGTTACATAACTTAATTGTATTATATTCTGAAATGCAATATAAAAAGTAACATACCTCTCCGTGAGCGACAGATTCTCCGGGAATGAACAGTTCAGGATAAATGTTTTTCAAATACCACTCGAACGATTTGCATCCCAATTTTTCTCTCAATTGTTTCCGTCCAGTGATGTCACCATAATCACCCTTATCATTTCCAACACGCTGGTAATAGTACTTCGCATAATCATCTAGCCATACCTAAAATCAGTACTTTTAGTTTAGCAAAAAAATCAAGTTCTAAGGGCCGAGCATAATTTACAAATCCCATACCTCAGCTAAACGAACAGAGTTTCTCTTCAGTACATTGACACCTGTCCGCCACTTGTATGGTGAACGTTTCCTGAATATGTGACCGACGTGTGAACACGGAACTATTTCTAGAGTTCCACCGCACATCCACGTTTTGAACGACAGCTCTAGATTTTCACCGCCCCAAATATCAAATCCGCTATCGTATGTTCCTAATTTTTCAAAGAACTCTTTATCTATGGCAAAGAGGCCACCGGCCATAGTGGGAGACCATACGGGCTCCGCTGTATGTTGGTGTCTCGCTCTTTCTTTTGCAGGAACAGGGTGCCAATTGAACTGGAGATTCCAGTCGAAACCACCAACATTGACAGAAGATGAGTCTCTGTAATGATACTCTAGGGTATTGTCGTCGATGACGTCGATTACGGGGCAGACTACTGTAGTCTTACTACGAGCAATTCTATCTAGTAATGGTTCAAGCCATCCTGGAATGAAATAGCTGAGGTTAATGACTGCTCGTTAAGGGGAATTTGTGTTACGCTAATTGTAAGATTTTACCTTCAGTACACTCGCAATGGCTGTCGAGATAAGTTAGAACCGGAGCAGTAACGTATCGAGCACCGAGGAGTCGTGCTCTGATGAGCCCTTCGCGCCGAGTTGCTCTAACTATTCGAACTTTTGGTAGCGATGACATATAATCATCAAGTTGCTGCATTAAATGAGCTGCAAAAACACAAAATAGGATTTAGAAAATTATGCCTAACGTAGATGATTATAGGGCAAAACTGATAAAAATACTTACGCATATCAGAAAAGTCGTCAACTAGAATAATTTCCTTGATCAAGTGTGCCGGCGACCGATCTAATACGGAATGAACGGTCCTAAGTAACACCGACCACGCCTCGTTGTGGAAGCAAATTACTACGGATGTTTGTGGTAGGTCTTCTAAATATCTGCCGGGAACTTTGCACCTGAACAAATTTTACCGTGGTTAGAAACTTTTTAGAACAAACTGATTTCATATTCAAGAAAAATATATTATGATGTATGGGTATTATTTGACTTATCATTCGTTTAAATAAAACTTTTACCTCATAGACCCTTAGTGATATTACAAAATCATTGTAACACTATGAATGTTTTTGATAATATAACTATACCTACCGATTTTACTACCAAAAGATAAGGATATCGATTGTGAATACAAAAAGATCGTAAAGTCTTTTAATTCAGATAAGTTAAGAAATCACAGCAATGTAAATAAATTAAGATATAATCTTCCAAACGATACGATAAAAGTATCTGAAACGTTAAAACGTTAAATAAAATTCCTTATCTTTATATAGAGTTATTATTTCCTGGCTCTCAGCGTTGGAAAATTTTATTACAAATAGACCTGTGCCCAGATAAGGCTAGGGCTATAAAATGTACTATTTTTCACAGGTTTAAGGACACAGGAGGTCCATTTACAAGACCAACATCGCCTTGCCACGTAATAGTATATTAAAAAGGCTATGTGAACACAGAAAATTGTTTAAAGACATAGTCTTGTAGACAGGTTAAAAATCTTTTTGGCTATTGTTATATATTTCTCGATTTCCGAATATCTCATGATATACTGTAAGCTATGTAATGATGTTTTATTACAGTATTATACCCCATTTCGGGGAACTTTTTACCAATTTCGAATTGTAGTAAAAGGTTCTTGGAAACGGACTTCTTATAATATTATTTTTACTTTATCCACAAAGCTAAAGCAATGCGTTGATTCAGAAAAATGCGATAAGAGAGGGAAAGGATTCGCGGAAATCCCTAAATCCCTTGAGATGTTAGCAGGTTGTACCTCATACATGTTGTAAGGATTTGGTATCATTTTCTTACCACTCGTCCCTGGGGTCCGGCAGCTTTCTCCTAATAGATATCAGGTCACTGACATATTGGTTGAACGCGTTCTTTTTCCATCCCTCCGAGACGGCCAACTTGGCTTCTTCGCTAATATTCTTTGGTAGAACGACCGGTTTACCCAGTTCTCCGGGTGCGTTGTCCGAGCCCGGTGCAGCGATCACACCTAGCCCTACGGGTTGCAATTTTTATTACCAACTCACCTTTAAAACAACTAAAAAAATCAGTACAAGAATATTCACTCAATTCTATTGAAATCACGATCGCTATGAAAGTTGAGCGAGTGAAATTGATCAGACCTTGGAACACTGAACATTGAATATTGGCAAATTGTAATCGAAAATGAATTTGATATATCATAATGTTTTCAGTTAGAAAATGATATATATTTATGAGTATAAATAGAACAGCAATTAATTTTGAAACATCTGCAGTTAATATGACAGTGTAAATGCAGTGTGAATTAGTAGTGGAGCATAAGCTACAACCATCCGCCACTAATACAATTGTAGCATACAATTGGTTTTATAAGCACTATTAGTACACTAAATCCCCAAAAGTAAGAGTATTTGCTAAAAACGACACGTAAGTTCGCTTTTAGGTGTATCTTATAAAATAATATACACTAAACACGGCATGTTAAGCAAAAGGAAATAAAACTACAAAACTGTATGTTTTATTTTACACTAATTTTTTTACGAGTATGAACTTTCTCATTAAATGCTAAATGGATATTTGATACCAAATTGTCTTTTAAATCCTTGCTTGCTTAGTATTCCGTGATAAAGGCTAACAAGCAAAGGTCATTAAAATTTACCTTCATTTCCCACAATCCGACCGATCCAATCGACCCGCGTTGGTGCTGTGACGGACAAACGCACATTATCATGCAAAATGTCGAAATACAGGAAGCTACTAACAAAATTTTACATGCAGAACAATAAAACAAGTAAGGGTGTACGCTACATATAATGAAAAAGTATTTGACTTTGAAAAACATACAATTCTTTCGCCTTCATTCACTTTGCATTCAATAGATTTACTTTCTCGACTAAGGTTTGTTTAACCTTTCATATTATTAGTGCTTCTGGTATCACTTTATTATTTACTTTTAAAAAGTTTATCGACATCAGCATAATAATATTAAAATGCAAGATTTGCAAACATACACCATAACTCTGCCCCCAAAGCTTATAAATTAAACTGGTAGGTATATAAAGTGTCTTATTCTGCGAATTTTACTTCATAATGTATCTTAAAAATGTTATTCTGATTTCTGACCTTAATAATATAGTCTAAGATAAAAATCTCTTTCCATTCAAATTTTCTTTATTTACCATGCCATCTACTTAATGGCCACCATTATTTTGGTCAACACACAACAACACAGCAACCAAATAGCTTTAAAACTAACCAGAACGGAGAGACGACGATTCATTGCTATAGCACTCTGGGGTAAAATCTTATTAGAAAATCATTCTAGTATTCCGTTATGTCCCTCATTACCATTTGTATTGCAACTATTAGCCAAAACACAATCGCATTGAAACCTCTCTTAGAAAACATTAAGACAACATGGAAAGCAATATTTACACATGCAAACAGCAGTACTGACGCTATTATAATTCAAACGGGATGTTGTTTTCAAAATAAATGTGATCAAAGAATTCTGAGGTTTATTCTGTCTATTCGGATCTCGAGGGATGCGACACACAATTCGATTCCTGTTCAGAAATTTCCTTATTCAAACTTACCTAATAAAATGTACATTCCATATCAATTTTATATTCATCAGATCTAGATTTATAAACAGTGTTATTGTTAGGGTTATAAGTTAGTTTCGTGGGTGACAGTGCAAAATTGTGTGAAGCTATCGATTTATCTGGTAATTAATTTAACGCCTACACCAAGCAAGCTCATGCAGGTTTAGTAAATAAATAACGCTCACCATCAGATAAATTATTCCCGTAGTTTTCACTTTTCTTTTTTGTAGACGTGGGCTTTCCCATCTTCAAGGGCTTCGCCTCCGCTTCGACATATTCGATCGCTGGCGCAACGATCGCATTCCTTGAACCGCCATTAGTAGTCAACAATGCGACCATAAACCATATTGCTGTTAGTATGAGTACAGCCTTCAATATCAAAGTCCGCCTCCTTAAGAAAAACATGCTGTAGTATTTCATTCTTCTCAAAACTTATTTCCAAGATACAGACAGACTGCTTAAAGTTCTTTGTTTATTTGATTCACTCAATACATTTTTCGAAACTTGAATACTTTAGTCTTATCTTCATTTAAATCTATGACGTTTTAAATCAAAAAATCTTCTTTATAGAATTTGAGCAATAAAGTTTACACTATCTATAATCACAAAAGGGTGACTAGCATTAATAATGAGATATGTCTTCGTGTTTAACGATTGTCACAAGATATGCTTTTTCGATATGACAGTTTCAGTGGTGAAAATAAACTTCACATGACTTTGGTAAATGTGGCTATAACTTGGCCTGGGTTCGTTTATGTTTGAATAGTTTCTTTCTCGTTTTTTGTTTCATTTCCAAGCGCTCATTGAGCATGATTTATCGTCCATATTCTTTAGCTCGAGTCCTGGGAACAAAATAGTTGCTTATCAATAACATAACACGCACACTCTATCAAGCTACATAAATAAAATCCAAATAATTTTGATTGATGTCCTTCTTTAAGTACAGCCGTATTTATGGCAGGCGATTTTTTCTCGCCAAATCCCGCCGCTGGCTACTGAAAAGGTAATTGTGTTAGAAGGCCCCTTTTAGGGGTCCTCCACCTCGGATGTCATGATTAGAAAAGAAAATCGAGCTTTGATTGACGTCTTGTCGTTGTCAAAAAGGCTATTGCTAACAGATTTTTTTCAGGAGATAGAACGATATTCAAAACATGTACAAGTACCTCCTTTATTTAAAACATGGTTATATGAGTAATGTATGATCAGATTCATACTTTTTCTAACAAATTAAAATATAGTTTAATAGGATTTTAAAAAATGAAAAATAAAACACAATAATTTACTGTAACAACAACATTAATACAGCTAAAAACCAAAAGTTTCGCAGCCCTACGAAGAAAGTAAAGATGTACAATGGAGCCCTTTCTAGTGGTATGAGGAGGGTGGTAGTTTCCGCCACACGACTGATGGATTGTTCTGCTTCGTACATTATCGGGGCTAGCTGCCAGTGCCATTTTTCAAGTGGTCACACAGCAATTTTGTAGGCCAGAATGGCAACACTAGGCGACGCTTTTAGGGTTAAAAATGCATAGCAATAATTTCTTGCCATGACTTATCTCAAAAAAGATTTAGACAGCTACATTACTCTAACATTTTTTTTTTTTGATAGACATTTATATTTCATTGCTTATTAAAAAACCGTGACCGCCTTTTCACTTAATAATATTTATTTACTTGCTTCCGACATTTATTTTATTCTCGAGGGACCTCAGTATTATAACGACAAATATAAAAGCGAAAATGTTTGATGAATTTAAAGGAAACTCGAACTCGCTTTAAAACGCGACCAGTTTTATCCCATTATACTTATTTTAGGAGGAAGAATTCCAATAAAAATTTCAATTGGTTTAGCCAATTCAAGAAATGGAAATTGGTGTAAAGTATTGTTCCTTAGGTAATCTGACCTCGATTTGCATATAGCCGCACACACTTAACCCAAATTTTAGGCAACTTTTATCTTGAACTTTTTAATTAAAACAAGATCTTCGCAACGTAGTTATTAACACGTTACCTTACCTTGTTACAGCTTAGTTCTTGCAAATTCGAAGCGATGTTGGTATCTGCAACAATTACAAAAGCATTTTAGTTTAAGATAGAGAGATGCGTCGGTATCGATTTAAAGTGAATGTCGAAATGCGAGTCAGTAATAAATTAGATAAAATCTTTACGGTCTCAAATTTAACGTAAATAGCACTAAATGGCGAAATATCCGACCATCTGAGACATCTGCTGTAATAAATTCTAGGGAACTCCACCCGAGGGCTTAAAGCAATTTTACCGAATTGGTACAAATTCAAAATGTTCACCGAGATTATTATTTCATCTGTATTGGAAAAGTACGTATGAGCGAATGTAATAAACCGATAAAATTAAATTTAAAAATGCGGTTTATATTATAACGTTTCGGAATAAAGTTGTATTAATACAGTGAGGCTGTTTATTTTGAAATGGATACAAAAATAAATTGAATTATGTTTTCAATCATTATAATTCTATTAAATTATGCAAAGCTTCCTAAGTAACTATAAAAAGTCTTATAATTTTAAACTGAAAACTCCAGTTACTTTTTATTTATCATCTAATTGCAAATTATGAAGAAAACACAGATTCTTAATAAAAGTCAACTGATAGAAATTATAAATGTTCGTCAAATCGCATATAACAGATATATGAAGTATTCGTACGTAATGCAAATCTACATAATAATAGGAATAAATTCACATAAAAACATAACATTTCAATAAAAAACGCTATCTTAACTTGCGTAAAAATTACGTTCATATTGATCTTTATTTTATTATCTTGTATTAACAATATTAATATTGCTTATCTGAATAAATACCTCGATATATTGCAAAAATATATCGAAAGAATATTCAAATTAGATAAATTTACTTTTAATATAAAACAAGATAATAAAATATACGTTCAAGTAATGCGATGAAGCGAAATGAAATAGGATTAGTTTCGAGAATTAAAAGGAATGTAAAATGAAACGATGACTGTATAACTTCAGTTGGAACAAAGTACATATAACTCGTGCGCGATAAGATGGCACCTGAGTCAAAAACAATTGGAACATTGAATCCACAAAAATTGTTTGTTTGGTTGCATTCAAAATATCGTAAAGTACATTACGAGAAACTCAATAGCATAAAATAAGTATTAACATTCACAAAACTAAAATAAAATTAAAACCAAAAAAAGTAAACTCAGTTCTTTAAACGTGATTGATTCACGCCAGGTGCCATGTTATCGCGCACGAGTAGTATTTGTTTGTTATGACAGGTCGACAGACGTTGTTTTTTTTTTTTGAATTGTTCAATTTTACATTACCTAGTGGAGTGCAATCAGCGCCGCCCACGGACACTCGTATAATCAAAGGAGTTATAACTACTACAAGTGCGTTGCCGGCCTCTTGTGGATTATAAGGGATTTAAGGATAGGGGATTTGAGGATTAAGGATGGAGGGGAAGAATTGGGCTCCCGGTAACCTCACTCACGCCGTGATCAACAACGTAAGTGTTGTTTTGTGAGGTAATGGTATCACTCCGGTCAAGTACGTACGTTCGTACCAAAGCATGGCTCTCCCACACTCAAATTAATGTATTTTTTAATGTTATAGGTCGGCAAACGAGCAGACGTATTACCTGATGGTAAGCAATCAGCACCGCAAATGGACACCCGTAACGGAGGAGTTACGAGTGCGTTGCCGACCTTTTAGGGATTAGGGATTTGGAGATTTAGGAACTGGGGAGGGATTGGGAAGGGCCTAAAAGAAGATTGGATTAGGATAGGCCGAAGATTGGGCCTCCGGTAACCTCACTCACACGGCGAAACACAACACTGTGGTTGTTTCACGCCGGTTTTCTGTGAGGCCGTGGTATCACTCCGGTCGAGCCGACCCATTCGTGCCGAAGCATGGCTCTCCCACACTCAAATTAATGTATTAATAAGAGACATTCTGTGTACAAAATGAAATTTGTAAAACACGTCGACCGTGTTTCTCTTAGTCGTCGGATTGCATAGAACAATTTTAATTAAATACTTCAAGCCGATGTCACAATATAATAGTGCTAATGTTTCAACTAAGCATTTAGAGTATTTTGCTGTAGTTTGTAAACCAGTTTGTTGCGTTTAGAGCCACAGCACGGGCGGAAGAGAAACTTTCACAGGCAACAATCAGTTTAAAATAAAATATTGTTTCAGAAATCATAACAGTATTAATTTTTTTTTTATATTATTACATTGTTTTGGTGTGATTTCGACTACATTTAAAACTACTAAGTTAAGTGTTTACTCTTTGCACTGCTTTGAGATAGCTCTATTATTTTGCAGTCATAAAATAATAATCTTATATATACTATAAAAATGGATCGCAAAATGTGTTGGTAAGCGCATAACTTAACAACGCCTGGACCAGTATTGCTAATTCTTTTTTTTTTTGTTGTGTTTGTTATTGTCGGGAGAAGGTTCTTATTAAAGAAAATATTAGAAAAGTAGAGAGGAAGATTAGGAAAAGGTGACCCTTTGATAGCAGGATAGTTAGACCCGTGCGAAGCGGGGGCGGGCCGCTAGTTAAATATACATAACAAAAAGCAAAACATTAATTTGGTATTAAAATATAAACCACAATTAAAATATTTTTCGATTATTTTCTACAAAGACATAGGTACACATTTTACTGGCCTAAAAGGGCGCTTGGCGTTGCGTGCGCGCAACCATGACCTAAGCGAACTCCGTCGTCTCCCGCCCGTCGGTCACGAGCTGATGTGCAACTACTAATTTACATCATTCCTCCATTCACCATATTATAGTGAATGCAATCATTAAACCTGTGACCGGGTTTGAGTAAATTGAATTTGAAATACACCGTTTTCTTAATGATGGTGTTTTTTTAAGTCGGTAACATTTTTTATATTGTGTATGTTTCATAAAAGAGATAAAATTTAGTATTTACTGTTGCCTAGTGATGAGACATAATAGTGGTTGAAGTAGCCACAGGATTTTTTAAACCTTTGCCTTCATTAGGATTTTCTTCTGTGTTAAAGGTGCGTTACAAACATTTAATTTCCGAACACCTAACACGGCAGTCGGCCGCCCAGCCAAAGCGTCAACCGTCAAACGTGGCAAATGAAAAAAAAAACATTAAACAAATCACAAGGAATTTATATTTTAAATAATAGTATAGACAAAGCGATTAATAGATTTCCACAATAAAGATCAGTCGTAATAATAATCCAATTACATCATTCCAAAATAGAGGGATATTAAAAAAGGACCTAACGTCACTAGCGGAATCGTTGGAGATCTCGGCTAAAACGAAGATAAAATGACCTAATTTGGCAATCCCTCTTGAGGATTCATTTTCCCTTTTATCGAAGTCGATGGAACCCACTGAGTGACTGCCGCCATTTTAGTTGAAAGCAATTTTGAAATTTCTGAAATTTGGTTTTCCGAGTGGTTCGAATATTCGAGGAGGACTTTTGAATGAGGAAAATAATTATGAGCCGTTATCTTAAGTACAGGAGCCGACAATAGAGAGAAAAGATTTTATGATGGTGCTCAAGAGCGATGGGATAGACTTGGGTGTTGTTTACGTAACACACACATTTGTTCTGTCTTTACGAGGTATTAAAACTTTGTTTGAAGCCCTCGTAGTAGAGAAAGAAAGTAAAATTATGACAGATAAAACTTAACGAAAAAAGTTTTCGTAATAAACGGGGCAGATATAAAATAAGATGTCTTTACAACTCTCATAACAATGTTGATGGAAGTGTTGGTAACACATTTTTCTGTGAAAATGTTTTCGCTTACTTTTTTACTAATTTGGAAGTCGAACAGTATAAACCCTGAGATAACACCAAGTTGCCTATTGCCGTAAATGGAAGGCAGAAATCCATACTGTTGCGACGAAACGATTTGCCTACAGTGAAGCTTGCGAGCACTCGGCTAACGAGATAGTCTTTTGATATTCAAGAAATAACAATAACGCTTTATGGAGTACGATGCAATAAAACATACATTTCTGAACTCCTCATAAGAAAGTCGTCAACATATAAGCACGTACTAAGGTTGTATGCGCCACAACGTGGACGGACCAGCATCGGGCAGGGGTCACCGACCTACCCTCGCACTAATCCTACCCCCTCCACGTCCTTAAGAGTCCTGCTAATGACATTTGCTAGGTTTTGAAGCTACCCACACCATTAGAATATAGTTTATTGATACATATTGTGTAGAAATAAAATATTTTATTAGGTTTTTTTAGACAGCATAAAATCCTTGAAATCCTTACAATCCCTTGTTTACAATTAATGTGAGAAGAGAAGAATTACTTAAAATGTTGGGCTACCATAAATCCGGCAATTATAATGTTGTTTTTAAATTAAATTAAGAGTTGCTTATTTCTTATCCTAATGTCAGGTAGAAAACATTGATTTATATTTATCGATTATTTCTTAGACAGCTGTATCTTATTATAGCATTATTAAACCTACAATGGAAATGGAAGGTGGTGAATGGAACCATAGCCCTTGTTCTATGTAAGAAGATACATAACATATGTCCTTTTATCTTAATGACAAGAACAGAATAACAATAAACGTCTTAAAAGTGTTTTGGTTAAGAATTTGTTCAACACAGATCATTGGTAAAAAGTATTAAGTACAAAAGTTGAGCCTTCACTAGAAATAAACGTAGAAGGTCACGAAATAAAAACACCTCAATTCTTCCAAAAACCAACAGAAAAAACATTTTAACCAAACAGGATTAAAGGAACAGAGTATTCTATCAGCTTAACCAACGCTTCGCTACACAAAACATTAACTTACAAGTTTTACACTTCATGCGTCCTTAACGAAGTGGCACTTCAAGGAATAGACAGAACTATGGGAGAAACAAAGTTTTAGCTTTTATCAGAACAAATAGTTCCAGAATGTTCCACCGTGTTCTACAATGTTTTCGTTATCTCGACGTGGCGTATTAGGTCCCAATTTTACACTAAAACGTACACTCTTTACTGTGATTGTGTATGTTGCACACTCGATAGTGGTTGTTG